CCTTAAGAGAGTTATGGGACACCATCAAGGAACCAATACACATATTATGGGATTTCAAGAATGAGGAGAGAAAAAGGATGAGAAAAATTATTCAAAGAAATAATGACTGAAAACTTCCAAAATCTGGGGAAGGAAATGGACATCCAAATCCTAAAAGCTTAAGGGACACCAATCAGATAAATCAAAGAAATCTACTTCAAGACACACATTATAATTAAATTGTCAAAAATCAAAGACAAACAGAGAATTTTGAAAGAAGCAAGAGAAAAGCAACTTGTCACATCCAATGGACCCTCCTCACCTTCTTATAAGACAATTAACAGATTTTCAATAGAAACCTTGCAGGCCAGAAGGGAGTGGGATGATAGACTCACACTGCTGACAGAAAAGAGCTACTACCAAAGAGTAATATGCCCAGAATAACTGTCCTTCAAAAATGAAGAAGAGATAAAGACTTTCCCACACAGAAAAAATGCTCAGAAAGTTCACCACCACTAGATTTGCCCTACAAAAAATGCTAAAGGGAGTTCTTCAAATTAAAATGAAAGGATGCTAAAAAGAAACATGATAGCATAAGAAAGTATGAGACTCATTGATAAAGGTAAATATATAAAAAAAATTCAGAGTAGTGTATTACTGTAATGGCAGTGAGTAAATCTCTTTTAATTCTACTATAAAAATTATAAGACAAAAGTATTAAAAAATAATTATAACAAAAAAGTTAAAGATACACAGTATGAATAGATATAAACTTTGACAATAGCATGAAGTACATGGATGGGAGAAGTTAAAATGTAAAGTTTGTGTATGTGATTAAACTTATTATCATCTTAAAATTAACATTTACAACTATAAGATATTTTATGTTAACCCCAAGGTAACTACAAAAAAATACTTGTAGAAGATACACAAAAGAAAAAGATCAAATATTCAAAATATATCAATAAAAAAATTAACAAAACAAAAAGGAAGACAGCAAGAGAGGAAAAGACAGACAAAAGAACTCCAAGACTAACAGACAACAATTAATAAAATGGCAAGAGTAAATCCTTCCCTATCAATAACTGCTTTAAGTATAAATGGATTAAACTCCCCAATCAAAAAACAGAGTGGCTAAATGGATTTTAAAAAACAACACTCAACTATATGTGGTCTAAAAGAAACTATTCACAACAGTCAAGATGTGGAAACTACCTAAATGTCCACTGACAAATGAATGGAAAAAGAAAATGTGGTATATACATACAATGGAATATTATTTAACCTTAAAAAAGAAGGAAATTCTGCAATATGTGACAACACAAATGAAACTTGAGGGCATTATGAAAAGTGAAATAAGCCAGTCACAGGAAGACAAATACTGTATGATTTCACTTATATGAGGTATCTAAAATAGTCAAATTCGTAGACTCAAAGATGAAATGGTGGTTACCTGGGGCTGGGGAGGAGGGGGAATTGAGGAGTTAATAATCAACAGGCATAAAGTTTCACTTAAACAAGATGAATAAGCTATAAAGCTCTGTGGTACAGCATCGTACTTACGATCAACATAATGTATCGTACACTTAAAAATTTGTTAAGAGGGCAAGTCTCCTGTTAAGTGTCCTTACCATAATAAAATAAAAATTTTTAGAAAAAGTATTTGTTTTAGATTCTATAGACTGGGTCTAAGACTGTATTCTAGTACTTACTAGTAATGTAAACTTCAAATTTTTTATTATCTTCTCTTAGCTCCAGTTCACTCATCTATATAATAGGAATAGTAATAAATAATATGCAGGGTTCTTACTAAAATCAAATTAACCTATATAGATATAGGAATATCATAGTTCTGTTGTATATTAGATACATCTTCTCATATAGAATTTTTTATGACAAAGCCTTTTTATAGCTCCTGCCTCTTTAGGATCCTGCTTTCTCTACTTTTCCCTCTTCACACCATGGAAACATGTTCAAGAATATTTCATCTTTTTTTAAAAAAAGCTGACCTTTAATTTTTTATATCTGCAGTGCTGCCCTAGTTTTCTTGTTTACTTTATAACTAAATTAATAAAGGAATTATTTATTCAGTAATCTGTTCCCATCTTCCCTTAAATTCTCTATAACTGAATTTTGCTCCCACCATTTTACTGCAACTGATTTTCCTGTAATATCCTTCCAAGTGCAAATTTTGATGAACTCTCTTCATGCCTTATCTATGAGGCATTTGACACTATTGTCTTTCTTAAAGTACTATTTCTTGGTATATTCTCCTCTCTTCAGTTTTTGCAACAAAGTAACTCTTTCCTGGTTCTTTCTGATGCTTTAGATCACTGTTTTTTACTCTCTTTTGCTGATTCCTCTTCCTACTCGATAAAATTGATGTTCCAGATTTCATTCTTATCTCCATCTTCTCCTTTGTCCATCTCAGTCACCTCTTTGAATTTAAACACTGCTGATACTTCTAGATACATTACTCCATCTAAGAAAACTCTCTAACTTCAGAAATTCATCCATTATCTATTTCTTCCATTAATATGCATTTAGCATCTACCATTGTGAGGCATGGTCTGAAAAAAGGAATTGGAAATAGGGCAGTAAACAACACAAACCAAGATCCTTGTTTTCATTTTCTTAGATATTTCATAAGGATTTCAAGTTCAAGATGTCTGAAACTGAGCTACACGCTCCCCACCCCACCTCCTGCAATCTGTTCCTTACCTTGTATTTTAGTTCCTAGTAAATAATTCCATCCACTTAAGTATTCAAACCAGAAATCTAAGAGTAACTCTTATCTCATTGATGTCTTTCTCATAACCATTAAATCCACTTTTCAATGTCTTCTCAAATCCAGTCCCTCATCTTCATCCACAAGTACACCTCAAGATCACCTGGGCTCTGCATGTATAAAAGGTGATAGTTTTATGCCTACTTCATGGTGTTGACAATAAGGTTGATGAGATAACAGATTCATTAGTCTCAGAACAGTACCTAACACATGGTGTGGTGCTTATTAAATAAGTGTTAGTTATCTTTATTAAATACTAATAATTATTAGCTATTAGAATTGGCATGTGAGATGAAACCTGTTTCCCTTCCCTGCCTAGTAAAACAAAAGTATTGATTAACAATCCAAATCACTTCATCAAAAGTACCACGTGCTATACAAATTAAGTTTTTTTGATAAAGTGTATATATATAAAATCTGCCTGTATGACTCAAGCATTTTATTGGGATTATGTATATCCATATATCTCAGAAATATATGTATGTGTGTGTGTATATATATATATATATATATATATATGTAAGGTTGAGGATCATACCCATGTCCCCTATTCCAATTTGTGAATCTCCTAACTGAACAGCCAGGAGAATGGAGGTCAATTTATCTTCCTTATTATGAATTAAACTGAATTGGGGGACCCAGCTTGGGTGCATAGTCAAATTGGCTTGTAATACTTTTACCACTGGATTGAATTTATCATCAGTACTATAGGCTGCTCTCCTATCATCACCCTATTGGGCATTGAGCCTGCCATGATAAACTTCACTCATGAAAGCTGGCTAAAGTGAGGACCTAGAAAGCCACGAATGTTTAGCTCCTTTTCTCAGTTCACTAATCAGATAGTCACTCCTGCTCTCTTGCAGAGGCTTGATTAAACAGACAGAGATGGTTGGAAAACCACTTTTTCTAACTCTATGCCTCAGAAAGGGCAGACACTCCAATGTCTTGGCCATAGAAGGAGTAAGAGGGAAAG